AGTGTGAGATCTCCTACTATTATTTTATAGCATGAGTATAACACTTATAAGTCTAATCATATATAGTTAATGTCCATTATTGATCATGTTACGACTTAAGATATTTAACAATATCATTTATGTGCATTAGTGTTTATCTCACATCTTTTGATCAATCACTAATGCAAATGCATATTGTATGGACTGCTATCTAATTCTAATCAATGAATAAATATAAATAAAAAGAACTAAGAGAAAGACTTCTTTTAATATAAATAATATAATAATATAATGAGTCAAACACATCTAAATAAGGTTAGATCTTGGGCACCTACACTAATAAAAAGTTGTTCTTAAGGATGAAGGTTGAAGCTTTAATGTTAGAAGCTTTGAAATGATGTCCCTAAATCATCTTATTCCATCGAAGTTGAAAATATTCATATGATCGAATACTATCCGACTTTGGAGAACCTCACCGATAGAAATATGAAATGCCATAGTATGCCCTAACAAAGTCAAAATCTCATCCCTAGAGAAAGATCTCCTACCATACTTAGGATTATTATACAATGCAAGAGGAATGATAGGAATATCTTGACGGAGTCCAATCTGTTTGGCAAAAAGGTTTCAAAAGTAAGACTCTACAAAATAATATTCAACAAGAAAGAAAGGAATTTATTTACAAAATTGGACTACCTTCTAATAGTCTAAATTATCTTTTTCTAAAGCACTTTATATAGTGCAAACTTTGTACTAATTTGGACTAAATAGTTTAGAAGAAAAGAGGACGTAAGAAGAAATAGGAAACTTCCCAAAATAAATACTAGAAACATGATATTCATAGTTTATTGTGTTAATAGAAGAAGCATAAACATTGAAATAATGGTCATAAGTGAGGTAGGTTATGTTAGAATTAAGCCCTACGAGACTTAGTCACTAAGTTGAGAAAGTAAGTAGAGGCCCATAACACAACCAACCACTTAATGCAAAGAGAAGTTTTATGGAAAGACTTAGAAATAGTTACAAACATATTATGCTTCGTTTAAGTAAAAAAAAAAACTATTAATGCAATGAGCTCTCTATGTCTAGACATAGTAATGGCCATAGGTAAATATCTTATACTTACTCTAGTTCTCTTACAACAAACCACATACTTTCAAACCTATAGTAAAAAGAAGCCCACTTCTATAGCTATAACTTTTTGGAATATGTCAAGGCCCGAGTGTGAGTGTAAGAAGAGTATGATTAGACATTCACCACCACCTTTAGAACTATAGCCTTAAAACTAACATTTAACTTATTTAACATTATAGTATTACAAAAGTCCATTTCTACCAAGGAACGACCGAGTTAGAGACATTACATCATCTAGAATGATGCTCATAGGACCTTTCTTTATGTAGATATAATTATTACCAATATCTCATAGGCTAAGGACAATACCAAAGAGAGGAGGGATAGGATTGAGAATGTGATTCACTATCGGGTCAAACACTTTAAAAATCTCACACTCGTGCCATTTCTTCTTAATGTTGAAATAGCTCGAGCAACTCACAATAGAGGACATTGATTTCGGGCTAGGCAATGGCCTATGTTCGATTGGGTATTTGGTATGACTTAAGAAGTTATTCCATTCTGTTTGTTTAGTAGCTTCAAGATGATAGAAAAATATAGCCTTCTTATTAGGGACCAAACATCTCAAGAGTTCACATGTTCTTTGAACATCATTTTTCAATCCATAACCTCAAAATAGGAAAGAGATTAAGGAGTGAGGTTGAACTTTAGAACCAAGGAAATCTAGAGTAGAGTCCCAACAAACCTCACTAAGGGAAATAATAGAATAGATTGAATTAATGAAGGATGGTGAGGATGAATAAATTTAAAGTGACGATCTAGTTGTAGAGCGATACCGATACAAATTGAATGGGAGAGAGACCATTGAGATTTTGATTTGGAAAAGGAAGCCATGGATATAGAATAAGGGTGAAATACTAGATAGGTGAAAGATTATGAAAAAAGAAAGGAACACAAATCAATTAGTGGCACAACAAATGCAAAAGGTCGGGAACCCTAGAATTGAGAATGAAAGTTTTAATGAAACATTGATTGAAAAAGTAGAATGGCAATTAAAGTCCTTTTGTATCAATACAAAACAAATTAAAGAGATGTGTGGATTTAAATAACCATTACGGAATGAAGCGACATACTAGTTCTAGGTATTCATTGCACGTTGGGAATTAGAGGAAGATGAAGAAATGAGCATCGAAGTAATTATTTTTTTCACAATTGAGAAGTCATATCACATACAAAAAGAATGGAGGTAAATGTTATACTCAAAATTTAATCGGGGCTAGCATGCCAAGAAATTAAGTAAAATCTATAAGAGATTTAATTAAAAATCCTATATATGTAGTTCTTAAGAGTAACTAGCACACTGAAGACCAAGTCCATAAGAACGAGGCCCATCTAAAAAAGAGGCCCAAAAGAGCTTTATTTTTTTAAATATAGGAACATAAGCATAAATATGTGTGTGTGTGTGTGTATGTGTGTGTGTGTGTGTGTGTGTGTGTGTGAGAGAGAGAGAGAGAGAGAGAAGTCAAATCCTATTAAAAATAAAAAACTATTAAGAAGATAAGCTGATCTAAATGATTAGACTAAAAAATAAGAAGGATGTGAAATTATTACAACGATTGAGCAAAAATACCGTAAAACATAGAGCATTGTAGCATAAGGTAGACATGGAGCATTGCAGCCCAATGAAAAAAGTCATAGAGCATTTCGGTTCGAGAACATGAGCGAGTGAATAAGAATGTAAGAAAATGGAAAAGCTATAAATAGCGACCATAACCAAAAAACAATAAAACACAATATAACAACAATACTCTTACACATAATCAACATTATCTCTTAAATTGTTTCAACACTTGAAATACATTAGGCTATAGTTTATAACCGAGTAATCATGTAAGCTATATATTATCAAGTAAGTAATAACAATAAGTAGTAATAGTAGGCCGATAGATCATCTCTTATTCGATTGTCACTTTCGTTGCAACACACGCAAATCCCGTCTCTTGATGTTTAGAGTTCCACTTAGTATTTGTTCATTAGTTTCCATGTTTGTAAGTCTTTATGTTTCTAAAGTCATTATTGTTTGTAAAGACTTTTAATTTACTATTTATCAATTATGGTTCGTTCAATCTTGTAATCTGTAATTCATACACTAGTTGTTACTAAAAGTTAGTTTATATTTTGAATAGAGACACTATTGTCAATATTAGTTTTAGTTATTATATTTTTCATATATCTACATTCCAATCTTGAAATCCAGACTTCATAGGTAGTCCGGAACCCTTCCTAAATAATATTTTGGTCATTACTTCCTAGTATAAATAGTAATTTCGGTTGATTAATTTAGAGTTTAGAAGATAGTCTACCTTAGCAACTACCTTCCAATTATTTCAAAATACTTTTATTTCGAAGTCCTTTTAATTGAGGTCGACCAATTACAAAAAACCCACAACATATAGTATCACAAAATTTTGAATAATTTTTTTAAAAAAATTAAAATTCAATTCTTTTCTTAGCAATTTTAAAAGAACATTTTTAATAAAGACTTGATGCATTTATAAAAATTTAACATATATTTTTAGATGTTGCTCGAATAAAGTTATTATTAATAATAATAATTAGTCCAAAAACATATATAATAAACAGTTCTAATATATTTTTTTTTTAAAAAAAAGACATACCTAAATGCTAGATACATAAATAGATAAATAGAATGTAATAAAATTTGCTAGATTCTTTTTTGTTAAAATAAATTCTTTAATGGGGAAATGGAATCAACACTTATTTATTTACTTATATATATATATATATATATATATATATATATATATATATATATATATATATATATATATATATATATATATATTTGATGTCCGAAGATTCTAAATTTGATGCCTTAAATAGTGTTACAGTAAAAGTCGTCTCATGTCATGTTCATGTCCACTGTACAGCAAGCATTGGGCAATTGTTAATTGGTGAAAACACATTCAGATCATCGGTGATCATCAGAGTAGTATCGAGCAAGGTAACGGTCAAAAGTCAATGCATGACCTTGGACGAATGGAACACTAACACACTTTTATACAAAACATAGTCAAACTGATACCATCTAATTTAGTCTATTTTGGGATTATTCAATCAACAAAGAGAGAAGAAAATCAGTGTCATCGAAATTGCCGAGAAACCGATATAGGATTACCATTTTATCACTTGTTTTTCCCTTACCAAACTCTTCTGCTTCTTTTAGTATAAGGATCAGTTTTCTCTCTTTTTGTGTTGGATTTCATTTTCTCAAGAGGAAATATCTGCTCAACCACACTAAGTAAATTCGCTTTCCTTCTCAAAGAATCTCATGTTTTTTCTCTCCTCTTTTTTTCCCCCCTACCTTTTTAATGGATTTGTATCGATCAAGGGGTCCTCTTAATTAGTTTTTGATCAGGCTTTTTAGGTGCTTATGCTTTGTTGTTTGTTTGTTTAATCTGGAACATCATTAAATTCAGAGTTGAATTCTTTCTTCTTCTTGTTTGACTGTTGACATTAGTTGTTGTTGTTGTATTTATTGTTTATAAGATTAGGCTATGGTTTGTAGAGTTCTTCTCTTGATTATCTTAGCACCTTGACTTTGCTTCTTCAGCCATTTTTATCTGCAGGGTTTTTAAGTAGTTTGGAAAATTTTTCAATAGACAATGATTAAATCAGTTAATTCCTCGTTTATAGGTAGATTTATCTCCGCAGACCTTTTGTGATATCGAACCCAAGTCATGATTTCCATCCAACAGACCTTTTGTGATTAGATGGCTGTGGCAAAGGCATGATATAGGTTGAGTTCATTTCCAAGAGATCAGTTGGGATTTTGTTTGCGAGGCTATTCAAGGTGTAAATTTTGTATTGCTACAATCTTTTCTTTTTCCATATTTCCTTCCGTGGTGATGCCTGGCTGTTAATCTATGATGACGACTTATGAAGGGGAACAACATGTCGTTGCTGCAGCTCAGCATATTTTGAAGGCATTGGGAGCAAATACGAACCTGAGTGATGACTTTAGACGAGCTCTCACAGAACTGGACTCCCATTTGTCTGCAATGACTATAATAACTGAAAGCAAGAGATGGGGATTTGCTGAGGTTGAGGAACAGCTGAAAAGTGCCGAGAGAAAGGTCATGCGTTGGGAGTCCAATCCATCTCTGATATGGGACTCTGGACCCACAGAGGCTTCTGAGTACTTACAAGCAGTTCATGAAATTCACAGAGTGATGGAAACTTTAGGTGGCTTGTCCATGAATGACCATGGGAGGCTGAGGGAACTTGCCTTCCGAGCTCAGTGTGCACAGCAGATAGCAATGTCACGGCTTGAGGAAGAGCTCTGCCACATTCTTGTTCAACTTAAGCAATCCTTTGAGCTGCAGTACATATCGTTTCGTTCAAGTGTTGATTTGGTATATGATGAGTCATTTGTTTCAGTAGAGGATGAAATAGTTGCGAACACATCGCAGAGAGACAACAGTGGAAGAGAACCTATTGAATATGCAGGAGATTTGATTGATCCACTTGTGATTCCTGACATCAAGTCCATTGCTAAAGTTATGTTTGCTTCTGGTTATGATAGGGAATTTTGTGAGACTTTCATTGGCAAACGTAAAGAAGCATTGGACGAGCACTTGTCTGACCTTGAAATTCATAAACTCAGCATCGAGGATATATTGAAACTGGAATGGGATACCCTGAGTTGTGAAATCAAGAAATGGGTGAGGGCTATGAAAATCATCATCCGGGTCTATCTTGATAGGGAGAAACGGTTTTGCAACCAGATATTAGGGGATTTTGGTTCCCTCAATTCATATTGTTTTGTTGAGATCTCAAGGGCTTCAATTTTATGCCTATTGAATTTTGGGGAAGCCATAGCAATGGGACCCTATAAACCAGAAAAGTTGTTTCGCCTTCTTGACATGTATGAGGTTCTGGCAGATCTTCACCTAGATATAGAAGGTTTATTCTCAGAAGAGGCTGATTCTTTTGTTACGAGCGAGTGCCATGACCTTCTTAGGAGATTGGGTGATTCTGCAAGAACCACTTTTTTTAAATTTAAGAATGCCATTGCATCGGATGCCTCCATACACCCTTTCCCCAGAGGCGAAATCCATCACCTCACTAGGTATGTGATGAATTATATCAAGACCCTTACTGCATACTGTGATATTCTCAATTTGCTTCTCAAGGACCAACATGTAGATGATCCAAATCCTGTTCTTGAGACATATAATGGGCAGGACAGTTGTACTTCCACTTTTAGTCCAATGGGTTGCCACCTTCGGTCAATTACATTTACTCTAGAAGCCAATCTTACGTGCAAATCCAATTTATACAAGGATGGTTCCTTAGGGCATATTTTCTTAATGAACAACATCCATTACATGGTCCAGAAGGTTAAGGACTCCGAACTCCGGCTATTCTTGGGAGATGAATGGATCAGAAAGCATAACGGGAAGTTTCAGCAGCATGCAACAAGCTATGAGAGAGCCACATGGAGTTTTGTTGTTTCTTTGCTTAGAGATGATGGAAGGACGTCTCTGAAAGAAAGGTGCAAGAGATTCAGTAATGCTTTCGATGATGTGTACAAGATTCAGACACAGTGGTGCATTCCAGATCTTCACCTTCGGGAAGATTTGCAAATTTCTACCTCACAGAAAGTAATCCCAGCTTATCGAGCTTTTCTTGGGATGAACAACAAAAATGTTAGTGACAAGTATATTAAGTACACTTCGGATGATCTGGAGAAAATGCTCTTAGATCTTTTTTCAGGATCACCAAGATCGCAGAGCAATTCACGCAGATGGTGAAGCCTCAATGGTTTTCAGCTTCTGTTTCTCTTTTTCCTTTTCTTTTTGTAACTTTCTCCCCCAAGTTATATATGCCATGATTGTCTTAGATGTATATGTAAATTATTCCTGGCCTGTCAATGGTTCTCGATCAAAGTTTGGTCGAGTATTGTATGTCACTTTCTTCAAAATTAAGGTCCTTCATCATCTGTATCTCCAAGGAGCGTGTGTGTGCATTTGCAGCAGAAGCTCTGTGGGTGTGGTTTTTGTTAAGCAAGATTTTATCGGACGCACCCGCTTGCTTTGAAGCAACAATCTTTTGTTCATGAATGGGCATAATTTCACAGGTAGACAGCACTGCCATCATTTTCTAGTTAGGCTAGCCGTACACGCGTACATACATAATTAACAACCTTAAAATTGAGCATGCATTAATTAATTCATATCTAAGGCAGCTAAGAATTTTGCAAATTAGGACAACTTCTTAAAGAGAAGGCCATTAAAATGGTCAACATCTCATGTGGCACATGTTATTGACCAGAACTGATACAGAGCTGCGAGTGTTCTCTTCAATGGAGTCTCATGTACCAGTCTTGTAGTGTAATAAAGAGTGCAAGTGCTGCTGATGGCGATGTTCAGCCAATGCATATGAAAATAGTTGACTAAGAAAAGAAAATCTTATGTGATTTCATTGACTAAACAAAGGCCGGCCTCCAAATATGAACAAATTCTACGCGGTGTTCTAGTTGCGTGCATATATGGTAACCATGCCTGGCTAGGCTGACCGGAACCAATTGGAAAAACTCAAACTTTTGGATCAGGTTGGGCTGAAATCTAGGTCTTTGATTACATTTTTTGGATTTTTCCAGGGCTCGGGTTCGGAGAAAAACAGATTCCTCTGCAGCACATTTGTAATGATATTTGTCCTAATTCAATTTTGAACTCCAGATTTTACAAATTTTTTCTCGAAAATCTAAAAATAAAATGCCATTTTTTTTATATTTTCTCTATTTTTTCAAATTTTAGCTATTTAATGAGTTTTGTAATTTTTGCATGTTCTTATAATTTTTGGAAAAACATGTAACCCCCACGAAAATCTTTAATGAGACATATATATGTCGAATATTCATGTAAATATACATTAAATACGAGTATAATTGTAGGTGTCATTTTAACTATTTGGTGATGATGATGATTATTTAGCACTTATGTAGAAATTTTGGGGCACTTATGTGAGAATTTTGGGGTGAAGTTTCAAACAAATTAATTAATTACCACTCATTATATATTGAAGTACTTGGGACATAATATAAAAGTGAAATAGAGCTATTTATAAAATTTTGAGAATGTTGGAATATTTTCTTCGAAATTGCGGAATGGAAGGGAAAGGAAATTTTCGAAATTCCGTGAAGGAAAATATGTTAGTTACTTGAAACTAAGTTAGTTATGGTTTTAGTTAGTCGTATTCCTTAGTTAGGAAACCTAAGCATCTTAATTAAATGAAGTCAACTCATCACCTTTGACTTAAAAAACGCCACCTTGCCTTCCAAACCTTTCCTTTGCTTTATACTTGGCCAAATTGATTTAGGACATGTGACATTAAGTAATAAGGAAGAAAATAGAGTATATATATAAGAAAAAGATGAAACTTAGTCATTTTTTTGGAGTGAAGCCCGTAGCTCATCCAAATGAAGAGAAAGACGCCATCGAAGAAGAGAAACAAGGTAAAGGAAGAGAGAAAAAGAGAGGAAAGAAAGAAGAAAGAGGAAGGAAAAAGCTAGGGAAAAAGCCTAATCAAGTCTATCTAGGTAAGTGGGTTTTCTTTAGTGTTTTATGCTATGCAATTGATGTTATTGTAATTGATTAAGTTTGTGCTTATGTTGTGATATGTTTGTTGGCTTGATTTTGTTGGTTAGGTTATTTTATGATTGGTAATTGTTATGATCCGAATGTAATGGTTAGTTGTGTGATTAATTGTTAAGTTTTAGAATTTTTGTAATCAGTTAGATCCATGTATAGATAGGTGTGACTAATGGATTTGGTTGACCAAACCATGGTGAGTGAATTTGGAATTGATATGGACTTTGACAAGGGAAAATAGGGAGGAAGAAAAATGAAATTTTAGGGTTTTTTTTTTACCAAACTTTCGGTCAAAGTATTACACGGCCTCCTACACGGGAGTGTCTTTGCTTGTGTAATGAAGAAATGTATTTTTCTTGAAGTCAAAGAGTTACATGGCCTCCCACACGGGAGTGTCTTTACTCGTGTAATGAAGAAATGTGTTTTTCTTTAGTCGGACAGTTCACAACCTCCCACACGGCGTGTCTTTACCCGTGTAATTCATCGGTTACTCGAAATTCACCACTTTTACTTCATACTTGCTTGGTTTTCGTTCCTTTTCACCAAGATAACGTAATTAATGGTCAATTAGGCTCAAATAGATATACAATTAAACTAGAAAAATATACCTTAAAATGAGTGAATATGGATTCAAATGCTAATAATTATTCAAGTCATAGTGAAACAAATTAATGATTAGAATTATGATAGGAAAGAAAAAAAAAAAAAGAGGAAAGTACCTACACACACAATTAGACCTACGACTAAATCAATACCATTCGTCGATCTTTAATTCTAACAAAGGGACACATGATGATAAGGGGTATGAGTATGTCCAAAACATTATGTGGGTTGGACCTATGAAAATATATGAAGTCAAATCCTATATGAGTTGGATATGTTTAATATGATACGCATAACATCATGGGCATCATGTGCATTGTAGGGCAAATGGAGAAAAGTCAATTGATTGAGAATCGATTTACATGATTAGGTTTGGTAACCTAACAAGAAAAATGGGTATTAACAATCCAATTGTGTGCGTACTCTAAGTTATGTGCTCGAACTGTTAGATGATGGATTCCCGCTAATAGTGACTATAACGAGGGATAATTCTATTATAGCAGGAGGTGATTTAATAATCACTCGAATTAAAAATAGAGTAGACTAGTTAATATCTAGGGTATCCGGAATTAAAATTGACAAGTATGGTTGAAAGTTAGAAAAACATTGCATATCACGTGCATTACCCCACTTACACGGATGTGTCTTTGCCCGTGTAATTCACTCGGTCACTCGAAATTTATCACTTTTCTTCATACTTGCTTGGTTTTCGTTCCTTTTCACCAAAATAATATAATTAATGATCAATTAGGCTCAAATAGATATACAATAAAACTAGAAAAATATACCTTAAAATGAGTGAAAATGGGTTCAAATGCTAATAATTATTCAAGTCATAATAAAAAAAATTAATGATTAGAATTATGATAGGAAAGAAAAAAAAAAGAAAAGTACCCACACACACAATTAGACTCATGACTAAATCAATACCATTCGTCGGTCTTTAATTCTAACAAAGGGAGACATGATAATAAGGGGTATGAGTATGTCCGAAACTCGTGTGGGTTGGACCTATGAAAATATATGAAGTTAAATCCTATATGAGTTGGATATGTTTAATATGATACGTATAACATCATGTGCATCATGTGCATCATGGGGCAAATGGAGAAAAGTCAATTGATTGAGAATTGATTTACATGATTAGGTTTGGTAACCTAACGGAAAAAATGGATATTAATAGTCCAAATTGTGTACGTATTTTAAGTCGTGTGCCTATACTCGTTAGATGATGGATTTTCGCTAACGAGTGGCTACAACAAGAGATAATTCCGTTATAGTAGAAGGTGATTTAATAATCACCCGGATTGAAAATAGAGTAGACTAGCTAATACCCGTGGTACACGGAATTAAAATTGATAAGTATGGTGGAAAGTTAGAAAAGCATTGCATATCACGTGCATCACCCCACTTACCGAGCTTCGGCTCACCACGTCGTTATTTCTATGATGTGACATGAAAAGGAAAAAATAGTATGGATGCGGTCGGCTCCTCCTAAGAGGCTTATGTGTAACACGGAATGTTGAAACTAGTTTTTTCCGTAATTTGGGGTATGGAATCCGTATGAAATCAATCATTATTTGTAATATTTTGTTACTATAATTAGTTATGTTATGTAAAATTTACTATATGCAGTTTTCTTATGTGATGTGTCGTTAATTTCTTAAGTACACCGTACGAGAGATGATTAGGGTTTAGTTAGTGTCGGCGTGACGCGCCTTACCTAGTCACTCTTATTTGGGTAATAGATAGTGGATCGAGGGACCGAGGTGGGGGTGTTACAAAAAAGTGAGAGGAAAAAACAAAAAAGAAAAAAAAATTCAGTGTGAGCGAAATGAAAGACCAAAGAAACAAAGAAAAAAAAGAAAAGTAAAAAAAGAACTCAATGAGAAAATGAAGAGATAAAAAATATGTTGTGAAAGTCAAATAACCTATGCCCTTTTTTCTTTATCTTAATCCTATTTTAATTCAATGATATGATAGGGAAGGAGAGTGAGAGAGGAAGAAGGAGAGAGAGAGAGGTGATGGATGTCGAATTCATCAAATTTAATTTATTTATTATTCTTATCAATTATTGTACTAATGATAAGTCTATGTTGAACTCTTGAAACTAATACATCAATTCCATTAAACTTAGAATGGGAGAATTGGTTTGATTGTATTCAATTCAGAATTATAAATAAGTAGAATGAAATATAAAGTGTTATCACTTAATTTTTTTTATCCTTTTGTTTTATAAATTTTTTCTAAGAAATAAAAATATCAAAATTAAATATATTTTGTTTAATTTACTTGATTGTGTAGTTTTTTTATCTTTGTATTCGGATTTTTTTAAATCCCATGATTTTATGAGTTTATGAGAATTAACAAAAACAAAACAAAAGGAAAAAGAAAAAGAATAAGAATAAGGAAATAAGAAAGAGATAAATAAAAAAAAATTAGGATTAGGAGTCCAATTAAAAAATATGGTGAATTGGAACCAAATACAATTTTAATTGGAGGCTTAATTGCTAAGAAATCCAATTGGAGGGATGTTTGGCTAGAAAGCAAAATAGATG